GGTGCTAATATGGGTGAAAAGTGGCTGAAATATGCTGCTTTGCCAGGAATAGTTCATCCTCACTACTATGCTTGTAGACACTTGAATGCATTTGAAAAGCAATTGGTTTTCTTCACCTGCTTTAATTCTTATCTAAATAGAGATCATCCAGTAGTACTTAGGTTACATCAGGAGTGTGTATAACTATCTGAATTGATGCTGAATAAGCTAATTCTCTTGTTCTGATTTTGAGTGTTTAAGTTAGCAAGCAGTAATTTATATGGCTAAATGAAATAGAAAAACTAATCGTGAGTTACCATGACATTGCACATCTTCCTAACTTTCCTGAAGATTATGTATTTTCTCTACTTCATTCTCTCTCTTTCTCCCTCATTAATTATTGAATATTGAGGGTTTTAGAGGAAGCTTAGCAAGAGCAAACAGTGTATTTGGGCATTCTCTTCAAGGAAGGATAGTGGAGTGGACTGGAGCTGCCTGAGGATGAGGAGCACTTTGAGGCAGTCTCACAAGGGCTCTCTTGAGATTCAGCAACCACCACCATCTCATTTCCATCCATCAGATGCCCAACTCCAAGAGAGTCCTGTACCAGTGCTTTGTTTGGCTGGATCAATGTGGGTTCCTGATTGGGAGCCTTGAGATAGAAGTCTGTTTCTTTCCTTTCAATCTGAGCTGACTATTTCTCTCTGTACTTTTTGTATAGTGTTGGAAAACTTCTGACTAGACATGGTATGCCTGCATACTCTACGTTGCAGCCTTTGAGTTAGAGTGTCTAAGTTAAGTAATCTGAAATATCCCCAGATGTGTTGGTATGCAACAGGTAGTCTTAGTTGTGTGCCTCCTACAGATGGAATTTTGTGAAGTTTGTTGATAAAACTTCATAATCTCTGCTTATTTGCCAACTTTCAGGGGCTTATAGTGGTTTTTGAATTCCGGAATTTTCACAGGGAAACCAAAGGAAAAATCACTTAATTCTTTGATAGCCATTCTGGTAGCAGGTGCTTAATTTTTTTTTTGTCTTGGGCTTTTTTGTAAATGCTAAAACAGTATTTATCCCTTGTACATCAATTCAGTGATACTGTAAATGCTCTGATGTAAATAGTTACTGTGTACACACATTGTAAAATTTTCTATGAAATGTTTATTGCCTTGCTTTCATTTTTCTGATATTTTCACTTCTTCTTCTTCCTTAATTTGCAACAAAGTAAAAGAAACCATCTGTATGTCATATGATACCTAGCATGTAACCCAACTTTTTCTTGACTTAAAAGGAGAAGTCAGTGGGGTGACTAGAAAATTTTAACGTTGCTTTTGAGAAAATTCTGGGGTTTTTACTACATTACACTCTGCATTGTAAAATGGCTGCTGACAGTTATGATCTTTCCAGGTCTGGACTTCATGCAGCACAGATGAACAAAGTTATTAGCTCTAATTTTTATAGACGTAGTCCAATGACATGGCATTAATCTTCTACTTAATTAAGCAGTTTAAATCTTATGTCACTCATTTAAATATATGTTGCATTTAGCAACTTGTACTCTTTTACAAAGGCATTCCAACAGTCTCTTTATACTTTTGCAACAGAATATGGAGTGGGGAAGCAGAGAACAATACTTGGTGTGTCAGATCTACAGTTCCTAAAAGTTTACAAACAGTAATGGAAAGAAAAGCATTATGCAAATCTGTTACAGATATAAACCAGGTAGATGAAGCTTTCAGAAGAAGCTAGGAGATCTTCAAGAACCCAGATCAGAGTGGTAATGTGGGTGCTAATTAGACAGGCAGCTCTTGAGAAAATGAGTATTTTTCAGCAAAGTTTTTAATATATCTGCTGTTTTCAGCTTTTGTTACATAAAGTAGAGGACCTATCTATGAGAGAGACTCTGTGATCAAAATGGGGAAGTTACTCAAAACATGAAAGTTGAAGAAAGTTTGGGTAAATGCAACTTAAGTGAGAGTTTATGTTCTATAGTAATGAAAGGAAGGGAAAATGCTGAAGTAAAAACAAAGGATTTTGTGGAAGAAGGCTACAGTAAATACAGATTTAGTAGATAAGATCTCTTTAGTCAAGCCTCCAGGGTAGGAAGACTTAAGGAGAAGTGATGTTTTGTCAGAGATAATACTAAGGCACAAACAGTACTAGTGCAGAAATGTAGACTAATTACAGCATAAATTCTTCATTGACCCCTGAGACTTTCTCAATTTGCTGAGAAACAGAATAAAAGATTTGTATGAGAAAGGGACAGAGTTGGGTAGGGAAGAGGAAATGAGGACACGCAGATAAATTGCATTTCATTTTTAAGCAAAAGGCATCAAGTTAGTACACACACACACACACAATCCAAAAATATCGTTATTTAAAAAAGAAGTCAAGGGAAGTGTTTATAAGCTTTTCCTACAATCATTAGAAGGCGATGCTCAAATTCTGAAATGTCTAATCCATTTTAGTGCAGGATTTTGATAAAACCAGCTGCGCACAGGGAGCAGCTAGCACAATCTGGACCTAGGCTGAACTGTTCATAAACACTGACGTGTGTAATAGCCAATGTGTGTTTGCCACGAGCAGAGTGGTTTCAGATTAATCTTTTGTTTTTTTCTTGTTCTTTTCTTTAACATGTAAAATTTCTGGCATTAGATTACAGCGCATTCTTGGAAGCTGTAAGGAAGCCAATGTCTTTTTTGGTGAAACTTTAGAGGTACTAAATTGGCCAGATAATGTCCAGGTGGAGAGTGATTGTGAATGATTCGCTGATGAAAAAGGAAGAAAGAATTGAAGACTGTCCTGACAAGAATTGAAGAAGTCCTGACCAGACTCTTAATGTTTCTATCACTCAGCCCATTAATAAGAGCATTCTTGCTAAATTTACAGATGAAAGAGATGTACAAATGACTACAAGTTATATTTAAGGACAGCGTTAGAATTGGGAAGAAGTGGAAAATATAGGTTTTTTTTAAGTAAAGAATATGCATGATAATACATTTGAATTATTGTGTGAGTTTTATTGTATGATGTGATCAAACTTTGCAGTAACACATCTCTTATATTGTCACATAAGAAAAAATTCTTCTGTGATCTGTGTTTACAGTTTAACTCTTGTTGAATTTTTTTCCTGAGCTTTGAAGGCTTTTTCCCCTGTATGCAGTGACAAAATTGCTGTAAAATAAGTCTACAAACTAATACTGTATTTTCTGCCATCTCTGCATGCAAATGAGATCTCTCTGACAGTTAACTAATATTATGAAACATCGACATCTGTCATCAAAGTTATGGCCAATTTGTGGAATACCATAGGTTGACTTTAGTTTGAAAGTGTTTTGAAGTATTATATTTTACTTGATTTTGAAAATATGGGATATTCTCAGCTTCTCAGCATGAAAACTTGATTACTGGGATTTTTTTTCTTTAGGAGTAGTACTTGATGAGTTGTGTTTCAACACTGTAAATACCTGTTTTGGTTGGAAATACCAGACATTTATTTTACATGATCTGCTGTTTTCCGACCTGTCTACAATGAAGCCAGAAACCAGCAATTGTTCATACTTAATCAAGTATGATAACATGCATACTATGCCATCTATGGAATCCAGCTTTCTATTTTTCATCAATAATCTTTACAGAATACAATGCCATACATAGTTAATGTAACTAATATATGATGCTTTATTTTAGACAAACATAGTTGTCAGCTTCTGCAGTAGGAATTGTTTGTAGTATAAAGTTAACAGTATATTCAAGAATGATTGTTCCTAAAATAATGTTGCCTGTGCTGGAATAGATACCAAGTTAAAATACAAACCTTTTCAGGCATTTTTCAAAGCATTTAGGCTACTGAACACAAATAAGATTTTATCTGTCTTATAAAGTAGGAGTTATGCTGTAACTGGGGGAACTGAATGAAAGAGCCAATAATGGTACTTCTGGCATCCTATATTCTACTTTCTTTCATGCAGCTCTTGGGCAACACAGTGGTTTGGTCTGTTCTGTAGATGGTAGGGGGATAAAATGCCAGTTAGAAAAGGCAGTGGTATTTCTGCACACTGAATTTGGATTTCACTGTGGTAGGTCCATGTGAGAAAGCCAGAGTACAGTATAAAAACAGCAGAAGGTCACTGCTTACTTTTTTTTCCCCACCCTAACCATTATTTGGAACATATTTTAAATGCACTTCTCATATCATGACTCTGAAATAAATTTTCATTTTCAGGTTTTTTTTAGTTCATTTTGTGACAGTTATGTCAGTTGCTTTAGCTGGTTCCCATCATTTGAATCAAAGGATCAAAGTACTTGCATCCTCCGGGACAAGTATAAATAAAAAGAATTAAAATATTCTTAGAATATATTCTTGTCGTACTGGGAATCATTTACAAACTTAGCTTTTCCAAGAGATGAAACTAAGTGAGAAAAAGCTAGTGCCAACTCAGTCTTTTGAGTAACTTTCAGTAATATTGCTAGATTCTCAAGTAAATTATTCTTAGCAAAACAAAATTACTGCAGGAACATTACATATGTTATGAGTTGTTTGGTTTCTTTGGCTTTTTTTGCACATACTCTTACTTTTTCAGCAGAAAGCATATTAAGTATTAAAAACATGTCGTGAGTAACTTTTAGGAAGCCTAATATCTTAAGCATACTCACAAAAAATATGAATATGGCTTATATCTGGGAGGGATAGATGTACCTTAAACGTGTTGACACCAAGGTGTGATTTCTGTAGGGGAAAAAATAAAAAAAAATAAAACTTGCAACTAATGGAGAAGAATGGAGCCTGGATTAAGTTTCATTTTAAACCAATTTTTAATTGGAATTATTTTACCTTAGTTTCTTTGTTAGATGATACCAGTCTCAGCCTTCTCCATGCCAGTACTTCCTGCTTTTCATTCTGTGAAAGGCTGAACTCTGTAACACCAATTAAATCTACTGTAAATTAAGCATAAGTAAATGTTTAATCTTTCTGTGAACTTTGAATGATGTACTCAGTGGTTTCTCTTTTTCTTTGATTTAGATGGAGAGAAGACGACTCAAGTGATGATTCATGGAATTGAGCCAATGCTGGAAACACCACTACAGTGGCTAAGCGAACATATGAGCTATCCAGATAATTTTCTTCACATTAGTATCATTCCCCGACCTACTGATTGAAACTTGGCTATATTGGTATGAGGATCATTCTCAAGGTGGAATTCTAGGGGCGTGTTAACTACTTGCTTGTATCAGTCTTGAGACAGGCAGCCTGACCAGAAAAAAAAAAACAAACAAAAAATGAAACAAAACAAGAAGTCCTCACTGCTGCAAGCCAAACAGGAAGAGAGATCCTATCATCAGATAAGGGCAATTGGGCTGATCTTATTTTGCATCACTGCTGCTTTTCTTCACCGCTGTAATTAAACTTCAGTTGCGTTATGAAAGAATTTACAGGACCTCTGCAAGTCTGCTGTTTTCTTGTAAAATGTAATGAAGCTGAAACTGTCAGCTGAAGAGCAAATGGAAATATGCCACTCGATTATATTTCTGATTACCAAATAGGCAGGGCTATTTCCTAAAGCGGTAACGTTTCAACTTCGAGAGTGGAAACATTGGTTTAGTTTTCTAGAAAAGTTAGGCACCGGCAGACTTAGTTACCAATAGCTTTTTTGTAAAAGATCGAATTACTGTAAACCCATCTTTCCTTAATGAGAATGTCATGTTTACAGTATGTGTATTGGTATGCAAATGATCTTTTAACTTTGATAACAAACAGCCAGAGATTTTAAAAGCAAGCCCATCAGCATGTTTTGTCGTTTAAAAACATGCACAACTTAATAATTTCCAAATACTTTTGATTTGTATGCTGTCACTGAGTACTCCGGTATGTGTATTATTCCAGCCAGTTTTCATAGACTAGCAATGTTGTAGGATAATTTGTCTCAGGACTTGTCATGACGTTTCTTTGTGTTCGTTTAATTTTTTTTTTCTCTGAGAATATTTTCTTTAATTGGTTCAAAAAGTTTGGAAAAAAAAAAAAAAAAGTAAACGAATGTTGCAAACTCTTGTATCCTGCTGTTTATTCCCTTAGACAAGAAAACAGTTAAATTGTAGGATGATCAGCAGATTTATTGCTTTTTAATAATTTTAGTTTTTAGAAAGCGGAGGCTTTTCCAGCCTAATTCTTCCTTGCTTCTGAGTTTACTTTTTTACTGTGATCCTTGGGCAATCAGTCTGAAATTTGAAAGATTATAATGTCATCGCACAGAATTTTCCTTATTTTGGCAAAACTGTTCTTAGGCTATGGGGGTGCTTTGTTTCTGAATGTTCTTACCATTACAGCTGCTGCTAGGATCTGGACACTTTTTGTGTTACGTTGAATTCGTCCAAGTCTGTGCCATATTGCTTTGTCTGCAGTCTGGTTGTGTGTGGCACAACGCTGTGTTTATAGTAGACATATTAGCAAGTATGTCAAATATTATCAAATATATATTTAAAAAAAAAAAAAAAAGCATGACATTTTTCTATCAAAAAGAGTGTAGCTGTTGAAGTTACTACTCGGTTATGGCTTGCAAATGTCCTGATAACTCCCACTGCTGTTCCCATTCTGCTTGTTTCTGTTCTTTTTGGTAGAATATTTACCTGTAGCTGGGAAAGAACAAAATGGAAATCAATCAAACAAACAAAAAACTCTTTTAGAAGCAGGGGGGGGGAGGGATCTCCTGGGATGAGGATAGAATTGAGGCTAGGAAAGCCCAAAGGGCAGAAAAATGTCAGCGGAACAGATTAGATAGTGTTTTAAATGTAAATAAGGAAATGGTATTAAGGAAATGGAAGGAAAAAAGTAATAGGGAAATAAACATATGCTGTATTCTGTGGGACGTGACAGGCCTCTAAAGCACGACAGAACACGCGGGTCTGCGTTTCTGCAGAACTGAAGTATAATATTCTTACAGTGGGATGATCTGGTTGAATTGTTCTAATTTCCAGTTCTGTTTGGAATTTTTGTTGCAGAGTTGGATTGGCATTTGTAAACTTTCTTAGGTGGACATATTTAAATTTAAATATCCTGGAGAATTTCAAAGTCCTGCCAGTGGATAAAGCAAATATTTTGTAGTTTTCATATTTAAAAAAGTATTTTGTAGGGATAATTTTTCCATTAATCAGGATAGTGTTATAAAAGGCCGAACCCTAAAAAAAACCTATAGAGGTTATTTCTGTTATTTGCTAGTAAGTCCAATTTTTAAGGCCTAGCATGAAACAAATAGCTTGGCTTTAAAACATACTCTTTCCTATTAAACTATTTAAATTTCATTAAAAATTTTAAAAAAAAGCTTGAGTCTGTCTTCATTTCCAGCTAAATAAGGATTTCTATCATGGGATGACAAAAATGATTTATTAATGTTTGAGAAGCAAGAGCTGCTTAGAGAGCTGGTCAGGTGATGCACATAAGCAAGAGGACTGCATCACAAAAATGGAGTCTTTGCTTTCCCTGATTCTAATCGCATTTTTATAGTTCATACTGCTTGGTGTGTGAGTAACAGTAGGAACAGGAGGAGTGCTGTGGCTTAATTACTTTTCTTCACTTTGAAATGCTGCAAAACTTCAAAACAAAACCAAGAATCAGTCTAAATTGGTCAGAATTTAAAATAGTGCTCCCTAAACTTATTTCAGCGCTAATGAAAAGCGAAAGGTACACAAACACGTTTCTCTAGATTTAGAATTCAAGTGCAACCAGTGCAAAAGTTAAAGCGTAGTTTAGAAAAGAGTGAGACACAGAGCTTGTTGTTCACTGCAGTTCACGTTTGGCAATGTCTACCTTGGTCTTTGAATGTTTGCTGAAGAAAGAGAGAATTTTCCAATGCTTTCTTTGATCTTTGATACCACTGACCATCACTCAGCACACTGTCGATTAGCACACAAGGCGATGCCTTTTCATTAAAAGCTAGAAATCGGTTGTTTTGATTTTTAAATTATTTGCCATGAATTCTTTTGGCAAAAAAAAAAAAAGAGAGAAGAAAATATGTTCAAGTTGAGGGGAAAGGCAGGGGGAAAAGGACATTAAGACCACTGGGAAAAGCGTGAAATGGATATCCAAAGCACTGGTAACCATGAAGACTGAAGAATTAGAAAAGGTGCAGAATTGAATATACAGGGTGTGCATAGACACCAATCAGAAGGATTGCTGCTGCAAAAGGAGAAGGACCCAGATAATCATGCAGTGGTGTGTTATGCTGCTGAAGCACGTGTAATTCTGGCTTCTCCTTAGGTACAGAGAAGGGAAGAAAGTTACGTGTCTGAGAGGTGATAGTTCTCACATGTGATGTTCTGATCTCCCGTGTGCAAAGCAAAGAGATTCAGTCTGCAATGGACTGTGCTGCTGTAGTGGCAGCAGTGCAAATACTGCTGGGAATCTGTATTAGTGTGATTAGGAAATCTTGCCAGAATGTGAAGAAATAACAGATCTTAAGGACAGATCAGGCACAAGAACATGCAGTGCGAACAAACAATTAATAACCGTATAGAAGGAAAACTGTTGAGCTACATCCAGATTCATCTCCACTAAGGGTTTTAGGAGCTGTGGAACAAACCAACGTGGGGTTAAGTTACGAAAATGCTAAGAGACTCGGTGACCGGGAAAGTCCTTTTAGTTCTGTGTTCTGACAGCCAGATATCTATCAGATGATGAAGACTCTTAATCATCACTTCCAGTATTGTTTATGTGCTGCATAATGATGGCGTTTTTAATTTCCTTATATGGTGAATGACATCTGAGTGAAAATCCGCGTTAATGGTACTGATGGTAACTTTTGGTAGACGTTTTGTTCTATTTTGATCTTTAGGAAAATCTGTGTCTCAGATGTATGAGCGTATTAGCATGTTCTTTGAGGACTTCTAGGGCTAAAAAGTGACTGCACTTTTGGGAATGTTTTAAGCAAATGTCACAGCTTGCCAGTGGTAAGTTAGCAAATCGAGAGGCTTGACAAGAAAGGAGCAGACAGATCCCTCTTGTAGGTACTTTCCCAAATTATTATGATGTTTAATTTACGTTTAAACTCTTCCAACAATATAGAAGTTTACCAGCAAATTTAGCAGTAGCATAGAGAATGTATTTACTCGTGTGATATTCTGTGCAAATAGGCAATCAGTTCTGACATCTGCACCAGCACAACGCTGATGATTATCAAATGCTGGAAGGAGCAGCATGTAAGTGGCTGTGTGGGATCCCACGAGTACAGTTGTTCTGGTGCTGCCCTTGGACCAGGTGTGCAGTTGGAATGGCTCTTCAGTGCATGCTACTGTGTTTTCCAAATTTGACCTTTCAGCATAAACAGAATTACTCTGTAAGGTCTTTATGGAAAAATAATGTCATGTTGTCAAGGTATCAGAAAATATCTTAGGAGACAGTGTTTCCCACCTCAACCCCCGAGATATTTTTGTTTCAGAATTTGTGCCTGTATTGATGTAGCGAGGCTTTTGGGAAGTGACTGTAGTCGTTGATTTTAGCATTTCTGGCTCACTTAGACTGGAAAGAGATTCTTCGGGTGATTTGAGTAGAGGCTTTTAGAATATCGTATCACAGAATGTCTGACTCATCACATGCAGTATTTCTGAATTACAGCAGGTAGGAGGTATCTGTTTTGTGTTAAAAATTCTGGTTTTGAGACAGGGACAGTGACATTTCAAAATATCGCACTAGCCCTGATTAATATCTCTTTAGAGAGGTAAAACGATGTGAAGTTTCAAATGCTCAGAAGTAGATTTCAGGTTTCTAAGTCATACTATTGAATTCGCTCGTGGAAGAAGAGTTTGAAGTGAGATGGATGTTTTCCTTCCCCCCTCGCCTTTCATGTCTCCAGGATTCACGTAACTGAAGTTCTCTTAACTGTGAAATGAAACATCAGTCTTTCTAAATGAAAGATTAAAGAATGCAAGAACACAAAGCCTCTTTCAAATACAGGTACGCAAACAGATACATGAAGATAAGTTTTGTGTGGCTCAGGTTTTCATATATATAACATAGCAGTTATGTGGGGCTTGAAGGTATGGTTTCTCACGTGGTTTAAATAGTATTTATATTAGATAAGAAACAGGGTAGAAGAGAGGTGGCTGTGTTAAAGTTGGAAGTTGGTGGAACTCAACTTCGCTGCACTTGAAAATGGCAAAATACATCAGATTTTAAAATAGCACTTTCCATTGAAGATGTTTAAAGCCTTAATCCTCGCGTCATTTTGCTAATATAGGTCAAAAGATGTAATAAAATGAATGTGTTGTGGGAAGAGATGTGTGATCTAGTTACTGGTGCACATTGTATTCTTAGTACTCATGGTAATTGTGCGTATTGTAGAGGGGAGAGGGTAAAACCACTACATGGTATATTATGCATCTACCAGACTTTGCAGGTTTGCTTGCAAGACTTTGTGTTTTGCAAGTTTACATGACAGCTGTAAAAGTTGGATTAAAAGAAAACAAAAATTAATAACATTGCTTGGTAGCCCCATCCCTCCATTCACCACCCCTCTATTTCATTGTGCCCAACATAAATATGAAATAAATTTAAGGGAGAAACAGCTTTTTCAGTTAGTCTGTGATAAAAATTTGTGATAAAAACACAAAGGATGCAGTCAGATATTTTTTTTCCCTGTCTGCTGACAAAAGCTTCACCTGCTTTGCCTTGTGGAGACTTCACTGGGTGTCCTATGCTCACAGAGCCCACAGACGATTAGTGCTCATGTTCCTAATGCCAAACTGCTTCTGTCTTGCTTCTTGCATGCAATAGATCTGTGCCATAGAATGTTTGGAGTCTAATATGGCTGATTATATATGGTGATTAGGGGCTTGGGGCGGGAGCATGGATGTGAGCTGGATTCCTAGCTATGAGGCTGCCATTCACTTTTTTTGGAGTAGAGATTTTTTGGGGGCATCTCTTGAGGGCTTTGCAAATGAAAAACAAGAAGCCAAGTGCTATTTTGCACTGTATTCTTTTTGTGTATAATTAAGATTTTGTTGCTTAGAGTTGGTAGTGTCCCGATTGCCATTAAAAAAGAAGAGACAGTTTGTAATTCTGCCCGTGTGAGAGTTAAGCAGAGTCACTCATATTTATTTTCATCACTACAGAATTAAAGATCAGGATGGAAAGTGCCTGGCTGAAAGTTGCATCGTACGCGTTCTTCTAGCTTTAATTAAAATAATCTGCACTACAGAGGTTTGATTTCCATCAGTTGCATGTGCACACGCCTGCCCTGGATTTTTTTCCATACTTCAGACTGAGCGAAATAAGCTGGTGTTCCTTCATCTTAACACCTATCCAAGCTGCGCGGGGCTGATGAGAGCAGAGATCAGACGTGGGAGTGGCCCTGCGCCCTGGAGTGCTGTGTGACCCAGGAAGTTGTACACGGGCTGTTCATCATTTCCACTCTAACAATTTTATTGTACGAGTTTTGTCACTTGCTTGCTAACGCTTTTTTTTTTTTTTTTCTTTTAATCTGCAACCTCTCTGTTTTTCAGTTAATCCATGACCTCATCTGAACAGAGATTAGCTCGCGGCTGCCCCTTGCTCTCTAGTTTTCTTCTCTCCGTTGCAGGTTTGTTATCAGTAACTGTAAAAGTGAGTGTGACTAAAACCCCGATCCCCAGAGCACTCTGTGACCCTCGCGTAGGGCTGCTCCTGTGTCTGAGGCATGGCTTGGTTTCGCTGGTGGTTACCACAAACTGAGTAGCCCTGCAGGAAAGCAGCGAAAGAAACCT